GATGGATGGATGGATGGACAGATGGATAGATGGATGGACAGATGGATGGATGGATGGATAGATGGATGGTTGGATCGATGGATGGATGGATGGATGGACAGATGGATAGATGGATGGACAGATAGATAGATGGATGGATGGATGAATTGACAAATATGTGGATAATAGATAGAGGGGTGGATGATGAATGGGTGAATGGATACAGAGGAGGAGACCACAGGCCAGGAATCTAACAATACTCACTCTATGATCTTCTTCCTCCACCTCTTGTTGTCACTGGGGTGGTGACGATAGGTGCCATAGTCAAAGAGTGAGTCCATGGGTGCTTTCTTGGGTCCAGGCACCACCGAGGACTCATATAGGGTGGACTCCAGCAGATCAATGGGGTTGGGCACCCCCTTGCGGAAGGCACCCTGGAACTTCATGCGCAGATTTGGTCGCCCATCGCCTAGGCCAGCAGGGCGACTGGCATCAGCCGGTGAGGGCGAAGGGGAGCCATCCTCCCCCTCGAACAGATTGGCCAGGGAGGAGAGAGGAAAAGCCTCCCCGCCTGGGGTGCCACTCTCATCCCCGGGGAGCTCAGCCACCTCCCCAGGACCCGCGCGGGGGCCTTCGCTGGAATCCGCCATGCCTGCCCCAGGCCCGTCTGCACTGCTCAGCCTGCAAGGGGATGAAAGGGGAGTCAGGCAAAACCCAGCCAGTGGCAGGGGCTCCAGGAAGCCCCCTCCCACGTAGACAAGCAGCAGTGCTGCCAGCTGCTTCAAAGCCACCGTTGTAATGACAGGGGCGCAGGGAGGCCACTCCCAGATGTGGTTGGCTGCCAGCCTCAGGCGGGAACTGCAACAGGAGCCTCTTTTAGGAACCTGGAAACACAAATTGGCCCCAGGTCCAACTACCCTGGGCATTAGCTGAAAGAGGGTGGACTTCGGGGTCATGCTGGGACCCCATACTTGGATCCCAGACGCTACTGCTGACCAAGAAAGCCAGCTGTAGAGCCCCGGAGAGCCAAGTTCAAATCCAGGCTCCACACTTCGTCATTCCATGACATTGAGCAAGTCACAGCCTCAGTTTCCTGATCTGTAAGATGGGAATATCCAAGCCCCATGGGTAGAACATGCAGTCCAGTGGCCAGTGCAGTGCAGTGCCTGGCACGTGGTAAGTACCTGCTAAAGCAGAACTATTAACCGTGGGCTTCAGGCACAGGAAGGGCTCAGAAAATCCATGTGGACTTGCTGTGTGGGCCGGCAGTCCTGTTTCCTCATCAAACACCGTCATGATGATCCCCATTTTACAGAACAGGAAACTGAGGCTCCAAGACTTGAGTTGACTTCCCCAGTGCACCAACTCTGCTCCACAGCACAAAGTGCTGATTCCTCCCTGCACCTCTGCCTGGTTAACTCCTCCCCACTGGAACTCCCCAGTTCCAGCTCAACTGGGCTCCTCTGGAAAGCCCTCCCCGGACTGCACACACTCGTTCCCAGGATCTGTGCTCGTCTCCTCGGAAGCTTTATCCCAGCTGTTCACGGGATGGTTCATTCCCAGGCTGTGGGCGCAAGGAGGCAGGAAACGTATCTGTTCATCCTTCAGTCCTCACACAAATGAGCAACTTTATGACAAAGATGTCATTTGTTCCCATTTCTCAGATAAGGAAGCAGGTTTCAAAGGCAGCAAACAGCCTGCAGGGAGAAGGGCTGGACTTGAACCACGTCTCTCTGGCTCCTGGGTCCAGTGCTTAGCCAGGAGCCAGGGCAAGGGAGGAGCAAGGCCCCACTGGTTGGCTGTCAGTCCCCTGTTCTGTGTAGCATGGTGCCAGCCAGGCGGGGCTGGGCACCGAGGGTGAGTTTCCTGGAACTCTTAGCACCCCACCCAGGAGGCAGGAGCATGTCTGAAAAGCCCTCTCTTATACATCTCACCCTTCCCACCCAATACACACGGAGAAAAACAAATAAACTAGTTCCCACCTTGTTTGTTCTGTGGCTTCCAGGAGGGAAGGCTTGGACCAGAGAGGCGGGGACACAGCAAGAGGACTCCCTTAGTGGGCGCAGCAGGACACAGAGGGTCAGAGCTCCCTCCGGGGGCGGGCTCCCCTCTGGACACCAACAGGGAGGCACAGCCTGGCCTTTGGAGTCATTCAGGCCTGGGTTCTAATCCCTTTACAAGTAGTGTGATCTTAGGTAAGTTACTTGAGCTCCCCAAGCCTCAGTTCCCTCCTCTGCAAAATGGATACAATTGAAGTCACTTTTTCATAGGGTTGGAGGCAGTGGGAAGTGAGGTCAGGTATATCCAGTGCCACTTCTGGGATTAAAGTGGGGTTTTGGCTGGGTGCAGCAGCTCACGCCTGTAATCCCAGCACTTTGGGAGGCCAAGGCAGGTGGATTACTTAAAAGTCAGGAGTTTGAGACCAGCCTGGCCAACATGGCGAAACCCCATCTCTACAAAAAATACAAAAATTAGCTGGGCATGGTGGCATGTGCCTGTAATCCCAGCTACTCAGGAGGCTGAGGCAGGAGAATCACTTGAACCCAGGAGGTGGAGGTTACAGTGAGCCAAGATGGCACCATTGTACTCCAGCCTGGGTGACAGAGCAAGACTCCATCTAAAAATAAATAAATAGAGTGGGGTTTTCAGTTACTATAACTAAAGGAAGAAAGAGAAGTTAGGAGGCCAGGTTCTGAAATCAGACCGACCCAGTTCCTGTCTTGGCCCTGGTCATTAGCTGTTTGGCCATGGGCAAATCACTTCCTCTCTCTGCCCCTTGGTTTTCCCACCTGCAAGACCGGAGTGACCACGCCTGTTCCTAGGGTCCTCCAGCATGTGAGGCACCTACTCAGTGCCAGCACCTAGTAGGACCTCTGGAGACATGAAGTCCTTTTGACTGGCCAGGTAGGAGAGGGGGATCTGGATCCCAGTCCCTCATGGCTGCCACATGCGTTTGGGCTTTGCTCTTCAGGAATGGGGGCCGGGGGGATGCTGAGGCAGGAGGGGCATCTGCAGGGGCCCAGGCATTGGCGGGAGGCGGATTAGACTCTCCTGAGCACAGCCCTGCCCACCTCACTGGGGGCCCTGAGATCAGGGGGAGACAAGACATCAGGCACACCCTCTGTGTTGTCAATACCCTTCTATCCACTGCACCTCTCACCATGGCACCCCAGGGGCTAATGGAACCCCACCCCAGGGAGCTCCCAAGGCCAGAGAAGGCAGCCAAGAAGCTCCTTCCATCCCCCATCATTCCTGCACCCTCCTCCCCTCAGGAGGATAGCCCTCCCCTAAGCCTGGACAGCACCCCAGGTTCCTGGGGAGTCCAAAATGGGGGCTCTGGTGCCAGCCAATCCCGGGTTCAGATCCCCTCCCAGCAACTCTCAACCTGTCTGGTTTCCGTGTGGCCTTGGGCAAGTCATGCCACGATCATGATTAGCATTCTAATTAGGATGAAATAATAATTATGAACTAAATCACCATCCTCGCCTGATGACATAGCTCAGGCTGTGCCCAGCATGGGGCCTCATCTAGCCCTCACCATGACTCCAGACCAGTCGTTCTCAACCAGGGACAGTTCCGCTCCTCCCCTAAGGACATTTGGTAATATCTGATAATATGTTTTGTTGTCACAACTGTACAGGAGAGGGAGCACTGCTGGCATCTGGTAGGTCAAGGCCAGGGATGGCACTAAACATCCTCCAAAGCAAAAGACAGTCCCGCACCACAAAGAATGACCCAGCCCACAATGTCAATAGCGCTGGGACTGAGAACACCTGCCCTGGAGGTAGGTATTGCAATCATTCCCATTCTACAGATGAGGAAACTGAGGCTCAGAGAGGCTAAGCGACTTGCCTGAGGTCACACAGCAGGTTAGTGACAGAGCCAGGACTGAAATGCGAGCAGCTGGCTGCAGAGTCCGGGCTGAATCCCTCCATGCACTGGGGATGTCCTGGGTGCCAGGTGAGGGTGAAAGGGAGCTATCCTCACCCTCAAACAGATTGACCAGGGAGGAGAGGGGGAAGGCCCCTGTGCAGGGAGCTCGGCCACCTCGCTGGGCCTGCACAGGGGCCTTTGCTGGGATCCACCATGCCGGATGGCACTAAACATCCTCCAATACAAAAGACAGCCCCACACCACACAGAATAACCCAGTCAACAATGTCAACAACACTGAGGTTGAGAAAATCTCCCCTAGAAGTAGGTATTGCAATCATTCCCATTTTACAGATGAGGAAACTGAGGCTCAGAGAGGCTAAGTGACTTACCTGAGGTCACACAGCAGGTTAGTGATGGAGTACCAGGGTGCCACCTGAGCATTTAGTGTCTCCTTCGAGCTTCCCAACCACCCCAGGAGGTAGGGATGATTACTGCCTGCCCATTATCATCTCTCTGAGCCTCAGTTTCTCTACCTGTAAAATGGGGATTGCAATAATAGCACCTCCCTTGTAGGGCTTCTGGGAGATAAGGCAGGTCAAGTGTTTCTTGGGCACCTCAGAAATACCTGCTAAATGTTTGATCTTGTCATATTTAATCATCATCATCACCACTATGATACAGTCCTGATTTACCTGTCCTTCCTTACTCCCCTTCCCCAAAACACACATGCACACACGTGCCAGAAGTACGCCTGGCATTTTATAGCCCATGCTAAAATCCACCAAGCCCCTCTCTCATTTAATCTCCCGAAGAACCTGGACAAAGCTAGGCTACCGCTCCCACTTTACAGCTAAGGAAATGGAGGCTCTGAGAGGCCAGTTAGGGAGCAAATGGCTTTGAAGAAAACCTCCAGACTCCTAGCCCTGGGCTCCTTCCACATCACAGCACTCAGGGGTGTGTACGCACCAGCTCACGTGTACACATACACATAGGCATGCGTACACGTACACACACACCACACACACACACACACACCACACATACACACCACACACATACACCACACACACACCACACACACACACACACCACACACACACCACACACACACACCACACACACCACACATACACACCACACACCACACACCACACACACACACCACACACCACATACACCACACACACACACACCACACACACACCACACACACACCCACCACACACACCACACACACATACACCTGTCTCTTATACACATCTAGATGTGTATAAGAGACAGCTGACATGGTCACAACAGCGTTCATTCAGACATCCCCACACTGACATGGTCACAACAGCGTTCATTCAGACATCCCCACACACTGACATGGCCACAACAGCATTCATTCAGAGCAGCGGGTGTTTGTTTGTTTGTCTGTTTGTTGAGACAGGGTCTCACTCTGTCACCCAGACTGGAGTGCAGTGGCACAATCTCAGCTCACTGCAACCTCCGCCTCCCAGGCTCAAGTGATTCTCCTGCCTCAGCCTCCCAAGTAGCTGGGATTACAGAAACATGCCACTACCACTCGGCTAATTTTTGTATTTTTAGTAGAGATGGGGTTTCACATGTTGGCCAGGCTGGTCTTGAACTCCTGACCTCAAATGACCCACCCGCCTTGGCCTCCCAAAGTGCTGGAATTACACGCATGAGCCACTGCGACTGGCCAAAGTAGCGGTTTTTTAACATGTTGGTTTTAAATCCTATATATTCAAAAGAAGGTTTATATTCAAACCCTTCTTTAGAACATATATACCAAACGGTGGTCCACACAGAGATGGCAGTTGTGTAGGATGGACAGAGAAAGAATCTGCATCTTCCTCTGGAAAGGGTCCAAGGGGCAGGAGTAGAAGCCAGCTACCTATTTATTTATTCCACACTTTTACTGAGCACCTACTATGTGCCAGGCACTGGTGCTAGGTACTAGGGACACAGATGTGAACAAAACAGATAGCAATCCCTTTGGGGGCAGACCTTCTGGTGGGGAAACAATAAACTAGACAAACCAAGCAGCACAGTCATGTCGGGTGGTGGTAAGAACTGCATAGACCAGAAGGGCTCAGGAGTGGGCAAGTTAAGGGGTACAGGAGTCCTGAGTAGGGTGATGAGATACAGGGCTGAGCCAGGGTCCCCAAGCCTTCCTTTCTGCCCTAGACAGACCCCAGGCTTTCTGGGAATCTGGCTTTCTGTTCTCATGGCCCCCTGAGCTGGTGAGGCACAGAGTGAGACCGCATTTTGACGTCAGGCAGACCAGAGGGTCAGATCCCAGACCCACGGCTCATTCGCTGTGTAAGCTTGAGCAAGTTACCCAACCTCTCTGATCTTCACTTTCCTCAGCTGCCCTATTAAGGGATCGTAATAGGGTCGTTGTGAGAGGTATATACGTTGAGTCAAGTGCCCAGCAGAAAGAAAGCCTCAATACACAGCAGATTGCACAACAGGTGCCTTCTCTCTGAGAATCCCGAATTCAACGGCGGTGGAGGTCTCTGGCTCCATCCCCATGCCCCGACTTGCAGAGGGTGGAAAAAGGGGCCTATCCTCGGGGTTACCCGCGGCTTTGCCTGATCTCATGGAAACCCTGGCACACATTTGTCAAATCCCATCCTCCTGATTACGTGACCAAGGAAAGCTGCTTAAATCTGGGGGCAAGTTTGGGCATGCAGGCCTGCTCCGCCCCAGCAGGGAGGATTCCAGGGAGCTGGTTTCTCCTGGCTCCCTCCCTTCTGGATCAATTCATTCCACCAGGCATCAATGGAGTGGCGCCTGTTTGCAGGGCACAGAGGAGACATAAAAGTGTGGAACCTCAGAGAACTCACAGTCCAGGAGGGAAGGCAGATGGCTCTTCCTGCCTCCAGGCCTTTGCCTAGGCTGTTCCCTCTGCCTGGAATGCCCTTCCCTTCGCTGGCTGGTTCCCACTTACTCCTCAGGCCTCATCTTAAAGGGTACTTCCTCTGAAAAGCTCTCCTGTTTCCCTTGTTGTTCACTCTTAGAGTAGCATGTGCCTTCCTTTACAGCACTTCCCACGATTAAACTTTTCTATATACGTGTTTTTTTTTCAAGAGAGTCTCGCTCTGTCACCCAGGTTGGAGTGCAGTGGCATGATCTCGGCTCACTGCAACCTCCGCCTCCTGGGTTCAAGCGATTCTCGTGCCTCAGCCTCCCCGAGTAGCTGGGATTACAGGTATGCACCACCACACCTGGCTAATTTTTCATATTTTTAGTAGAGACAGGGTTTTGCCATGATGGCCAGCCTGGTCTTGAACTCCTGACCTCAGGTGATCTGCCTGCCTCAGCCTCCCAAAGTGTTGGGATTATAGGCGTGAGCCACCGCGCATGGCCAATATATTATTCTTTGATTCATCTTCTCTCTTCATCTCCAGAGTTTTAGTTCCATGTGGTAGGGACTATTTCGTGTCCCCTGTGTCCCCAGCATTCAGCATGGTGCTGAAGCAAAATGAGGTGTCAATGAATATTTGGTTTATTTTAGGCTGTAAGACCAGGGACCTGAAGTTCCAGGTGGGGTTGCAGAGCAAGGGCAGCCGGAATCCTGATGGGGAGGGGGGGAGGCAAAGAGGAGGAGGAGGAGGAAGAGGAGGAGGAGGATAAAGGGCAGAGGAGGTGTCAAGGACAAAGGTGCGGAGGGGAAAGTGCAGGGCGCACAGAGGAATGGTGTGGCCTGGGGCACAGGGAGAAGGAAAGCAGGAAGAAAAGATGGGTGAGTGGGTAGGCAGCGGGGAGGTGGGTGGGGGAGGAATCCATGTGTAGGAAGGAGCCCACGGAGAAGGTGCTCAGGCTCCCAGACAGACCCAGTGTGCTTCTACCTCCCTCCGTCCTGGGGCTCCTTAGCCAATTTAGGGGGCACTCACTTCCTGTGGTACTCTCAAACACACTGCGAGTGCCTGCCATTCCAGCTCAGTCTTGCAGGGCACATGTGGGTAGGAAGGTATAGGAAGACAAGGACTCTGAGCTTTGCTGTGACTAGAAAGTCCCAGACCTGTCCAAGCACTCCCCACCTTCCAGGTAAGAAAACTGAGGCTCGGCCGGGCGCGGTGGCTCACATCTGCAATCCCAGCACTTTGGGAGGCCGAGGCGGGCGGATCACAAGGGCCAGCAGATCGAGACCACCGTGAAACCCCATCTCTACTAAAAATACAAAAACTTAGCCCGGCATGGTGGTGGGTGCCTGTAGTCCCAGCTACTCGGGAGGCTGAGGCAGGAGAATGGTGTGAACCCGGGAGGCAGGGCTTGCAGTGAGCCAAGAATGTGCCACTGCACTCCAGCCTGGGTGACAGAGCGAGACTCCGTCTCAAAAAAAAAAAAAAAGAAAACTGAGGTTCAGAGAGGCAAAGTCACTTGTCTGGCATTGCCTTGCTCCAAAAAGGGGGAAGCAGGATTAGAACCCATGCATCCCCAGGACCTGTACCTTTGATGGACACTATATAAAGACAAAGGAACTCTGGGAGGGAGGAGCTTTAGAAAGAATGGAGTGGGGGGTGGATCGCAGTCCCTGGTGAACCACCAGTTCACCAGCTCTGGGCAAGTCACCTGGCCTTCCCATGCCTTGGTTTCCTCATCTGCAAAATGGCAATGATCCTAGCACCTACCCCAAGGGAACTGTCATGAGGGTTAAATGAAATAAAGCATGCAAAACACTGAGCCTGGTGCCTGGTACACAGCATGCATTTCGGTCAAGAATGGCTGCTGTTGGAATCTTTGGTATCAGTGTACTATTTATCAGTATCATTAAGGGAACAGATGAACAAAAGGACTGAGGACCGAGGAACGCAATGACTCCTAGAGAAGGCACAGCGGCCGGAGCCAGAGCCTTGGAGGTAGATTCTGGTAGCCACCTCGAAGTGGCAGCCGACTGGGAGCTCAGCTCCTTGGCCAGGCAAAACCTGCCTGCCAGGCTACGCATGGCTCCCAGGTCCCTGGCAGGCGGCAGTGGTAGGGGGGCATCATGCCATGCCCAGCAGCTTCCCTGGCCAGCCTGTATTTACCTAGCAGGTCTCAGCCCAGCCCGCTTCCTGTTTGCTACACAGTGGCCGCCTGTCCAAGACAGACAGAGCTCCAGTGTCCTGCTGGGCCCCCACCCCATGCACTCACACCACCCAGGCAGGGCAGGTCTGGGGTGACTCACCGGGCCCCACGGAGGGCAAGGCCAGTGTGCACGGCAGTCATTTGGTCATTCTGCAAGCCCTTGGCTGGAGGGATGCTGGCTGACAGCACACACAGATGCCCCTCTGAGCTTTCACACGGACCAAGTCATTTCTGAGGGTCCCAGCCCCGGGGCAGGAGCCACCAAGAGGCCGTGTGGCTTAACGGTTAAGAGCATGCACCTTGCAGGCACAAAAGGCCACATATTGCAGGATTCCATTTATATGAAATG